TGCCAACTAGGGTGTCAGTGTAATCTTACACTGTGAGAGCAGGCAGAAGGGGTACAGTCCATGACCTGCACTTTTTAGGCTAAGGGCATCCTTCCTGTGGCCAGAAGCTGTCACAGACTTGCATGAAGCAGCTGGTGCAGGACAGGAAAGCTGCAGTCTCTCCTGATGGTGCTGTGCTTACTGGTGTCTCATGATGCAAGGAGGAGAGACTTTAGTGGGAAGGGGAGCCTGGATTCGTGGACTGACCTAGGGCAATCCTCTTGTCTTCAGAAATATTGGGAGGGGAGAAGGACAGGCTGTAGTGATGTCCTCATTTCCATCAGAACCAACTGTTGGTACCAATATCGCTGACCATCCCAACAATGTGGCTGAATCCCACATGTCAGGGTCCGTTGGCCAGGCCAGGTGGGGAGCCAGAGGAGATGTCTGGGGATTGGAAAATGGGAAACATGCTCTGTCCTCTTTGAAGGTACCTTGTGTTAACATATCTCAGGTTGCTGTGTCTAGAAGCCAGGCAGGGCTTCAAGTGCTTCTCTGTCCCAGCAAGGCAAGTAGCAAGAACTACTGGTCAGAGCTGACTGAGCCCATGTTTCCTCTTGGCATTACATGTCTACACATACACTTAATGATGGTTAGCTGAATTTCAATCAGCAACGCATACTTGGAGGGTAGGGAATACCAAGGGAAAAGCTCTTCAGCCTGGGAACAAGCAAAAAAATGTCCTTGTCCTGCTGCTCAGGTGGGATCTGATGGAAGGGACCAGTCCTCCTCCAAGTTGCTGTGTAAAATGGAGAACTTGGTATCGCTGCAGGATCTGACTGCTGGCAGAGTTCCCTGGCTCCTAGATGCTCAGCCTTCCTCTTTCCTCTGCAGCTGGTAATGCTGCCAGCCTCATCTTGAGCCGCCTCAGGTAGCTCCTGAATCTGTGCTGTAGGCACAGGGTGTGTGATGTGGGTGTTTGCTTGGACCATCCTGGCCAGGAGTTGCCAATGTCTGTCCAGGGCCTTGGAAGACAGTGACAATTCCTAGAAATGATTGATTTTCCCTGCCTCCCTTATTCTGGGGATTTGAAGTCAAAGGGATCTTATTAATTTCTTGCATGATGTAAGCGAATGGTAGGGAAGAGCCATGGAAACTGATGCTCAAGAGTCCCACTGGAGTCACCTGCAAGCTGCTGCCACTGCCTGGCACTCAGGAGCTACCTGGGCCTTCAGGCTGCTGCTCTGGGGCTTTTTTTGATTGTTTTTTTCAGTCCCGTAGAGGACCGTCTCTAGAACACCTAACCCTCTGAACCCCAGGGGGTCTTGTAAAGTGACAGTTTAGCTCTGGAGGTGAATCAGAGATTTAAGGCAGGTCTTTGCAGGGAGAGACAGGTAAAAGGATGGGAGATGATGACATGAAAACACTTGTTAAACAGGGGGACAGTGTATGGGGCCAGGGCTGAACTGTTACAGAGAGGAGCTTGAAGAGCTTAAAGGATTTCTGAAGTTGTTTAGTGTTCAAAGTTGCAGGGTCAAGGTTGCAGGGGTGATGAAGGTTTTTTGGCCCGTGTGCTTGGCCACTGGGGTGCTGGGCATGTTTGTCTCCTCAAGGCTTTTTTTGGAAGAGGATCCCTCCCCCCCCCCGCCTTCTATTGCTTCTGCCCTGTACATTGTGGGAATCTCCTTTTGTTTCACGGCTGGTTGTAAGTCCTCCCCTCCATCCCTCCCCGTGCATCCCAGAGCAGCAACTGCAGCTGTGGGACTCCATCTCTGTTCATCTCAGGGGCAATGTCAGGGAGACATTGCCACCTCAGAGACAAATGCCATGTACGAAGGAGGGGAGGCTGTAGCAGCAGTCCACCCCTTGCCTTTTCCAACGTGTGTTACAGTCAGCACCCAGGTGCCTGGTAAGAGTTGCCTTGTCTGTTCTGTGTGGTGAACTGAGGCACTGGGATCCCACAAAGGGGTCAGCTGAGCCTTGGCCAGACCAGTTCTGCCCTCTAGCACTGCAGAGATGTTTCTGTGCACCTGCAATAGCGGATTTGCTTATGGTTCTCCAGTGCTTGAGCCTGAGCCATGAGAGAGGCTCCTAGTGATGGAGGGAAACCCTGTTTGCAGTGAAGTAGGGCAAGTATTTTGCCTCATTCCATCAGACTGCAGTGGGCAGATGACGATGGCATTTATATCAGAGACTGCTCTCCTCCCAGTGACACTGTTCTGGGACAGATTTCCCTTTCCCCAGCTTTTTCCTCTGCTTGTTTGCTATGCTGGACTTATCCAAGGCTGGTTAATAGCTCAAGGAGACAACCTTATTCACCTACTTCTGCGGGCTGAAGCCGTGGAGCTGGTTGTTTGCTCCTGTGAGCCCTTTGCAGCCTGGGAAAGGAGCAGGGATGCTGCAGTTCCTACTGGGATTAGACTCTGCAGCTGGCTCCTCCTCCATCTCTGCTGTGGTTGTATCCCGTCATAGGCACTTGATCAGCTTTCGGAAACCCCACCAGTGCTGCCGAGGTGTATGTGTTTTACCTCAAAAGCCTAAGACAAAACTGGGTTGTAAACAGTTTACAGCAGGGGTTACTGTGACCCTGTAAAAGCGCTGCAGTATCTAAATGCTGCGTAGTCCTAGGAGGAGACTAATGCATGGACTAGAGCCCTGCTAACACAGTTCCTGGAACCAAGCCTGGGCTGCATCGTGCTCCCTGCCCTGGATAGGTAACCGCAGTGGGACTTGCCTGCATCTCCTCAGGGTGACAGCCAGCATCTCCCTTCTCCTGCGACACAGGCAGTGTGGAATGTGAAGGTCTGGGGAGTGACTGGGAGGTGGAATTTGCTTTTCTGAGGCAGACATCTCCGAAGACTTTTTTGTTTGCACCCATTCCCCAGCTTGGCAAATGAGCGAGCTGGATGCTTTGCTTTTTTCCCTGTGCTCTGTTTGCAGATCTGCCTCCTGAACAAGGTGCTGTTTCTCAGCCTTCTTACCCCACAGAGACCCTGGGTTTAGCATGTACCTTGCATTTCCCCAAGGCTCCTGTTCAGACCCTCCCCATGCTCCTCCTTTGGCTGAGCAGCTCCCTTAGATCCTCACAGTCAGTGCTGCTGCTGCCAGGGAAGATCTGCAACCTGGAAGGCAGCAGTGGGAGAGGAAACCTTCATCTGCCTGGGTAGTGGTACAGCATTCCAGCATGGGAGAGTCATGCTGCAGCTGAGCAAAGACAGAGGGATCTGAGCAGGCTCTTATAACTGTAGTGTGGACCTCAGGAGGGAGGGCACAGCTCAGGAGGCTCTGCCTCTTGAATGGCTCCCCCTTCCTCTCCTCACTCCCTTTTCTCTTACCTGGCGTTCCCTTCTTGTCCCATGACCATGAGGCTGCTGCAGTGGTGGGTTGCAATGTGAAGGCTTGGCTGCACGTGTGTCTATGCTGGCACTGGCAAGCAGAGCCACCCTGCACCTCTCCGTGTTGCCTGAAGGCTGGCACTGCCCCACCTGCCAGCCCTGGGCTCCGTGTCTGTCTCCAGCTCTTGCTCTCAGCCGGTGGCTCCAAAGAGGGGAGCTCAGTGCTGCTGATGCTTGGGACTGCCAGTGGGATGTACCATCATTCCCCTTGCCACCAGTGGTCCCTCTGGATGTGCAGGCTGACTGCTGGGGTGGGCAGGCAGGGAAGCTCCCTGCTTCTGGGAGAGAAACCTCTGTTGGAGATTCGGGTTGGATCCAGCCCTGCTGAGCGTGGTGGCAGAAAACCGACTGGCATGGGGTGGTCCAGGGTTTGACAAGGTGTAGGGAGGAAAGATAAGCCTCTGGGACTCTAGGGCACCAAGCCAGCACTGAGGGGCTCTTCAGGAGAGCACGACACATTTCTTAAAGGAAAGAAGAGGTCCAAATCTGTCCCTAGACCTGCCAGTGGCCTTGTGATCTCTGGTTCTTGCTTTAATTTTCCTTTTCATGCCAGAGTGGAAGTGCCCCTCCTGCTTTCTAATAGTGTGACCCTATTCAGCTCTTTGGGATCCATGGGTGAGAAACCTGTCCATCCCAGTGTGCTCAGGAATGGAGAAGAATGGAGCCAGGCTTGGACTTCAGTGCCATGAGTGGTGTCATTACAGCTGGCATTAGCCCCTGCCATGGCAGAGATGAGCTCAAGAGCCGTGCTCTGTGCAGGTGGGGAGGGAGAACAAAGCTGGAAGCCTCTTAGTAAGTTTCGTGGCATCTGCACAGTGATGGGTTCTTGCCCCCCTCTCTCAGGTTGCACATGTGGAGATTGCTGGATGAAGTGTAAGAAAGCAAATAATCTTTCTTTGGGTGGGATAATGTCAGGTCTCACAGACCAAGGTGGATCAATACTTGAGACTGCAAAGTGTTGCAGAGTGACAGAAGTTTCCTTAACCAGGGTTTTTTTCATGGGTCTGTGTGAAACCCTGCACTGTTCCTCTGGTAAAAGCACCAGTGCAGTCCCTTTAAAAAGTCCTGTTTCTGAAGTTCTACCCTTTCCTCACCATGAAAGACCTGAGAGCAGTTTTTTTCTGGAAGTGTGGGCTGTCACAGCTGAATCCCAGCGCAAGCAGGGACATTTGCTAGCAGCTGTGAGTGGCCTCTTGCCCTCCCTGCTGCTGCAGATTGGTGGGATGCTTTTCCAGCCTGAACACTTTTTAGGATGTCATTCCATTTTTGCTTTTTCTCCTGCCAGAGGTGGCTGCATTTCAGTTGTGGAAAAGTACTTTCCCGTTGGTGTGATTTATACTTGAAAAGCACTTCAGAGCCCCTTAGACTGCCAAGTGTTGTGGTGGGAATTGCCATTGCTATTACCAAACAGAGACATTCCCAGCTGCAGAAGGTCTGTTTCTCCACCCTACAGGCACCCCAAGCAGCTTGTGCTGCCCTGGTGGGAGAAATTGGAATATTGCTGGTGCTCGTTACTTGGAAGAGGGGAGCGACTGGTGTGTGAGCAGTGAGAGGTGCACTGGGATGAGCTGTGGGGAGGGGTTCAGGTGGGACGACCCATGAGTTAGAGCTGCCTGCACTGGTGGGATGGGTGCAGAAGCTGAGGTATCTGGGGGAGATCCACCAGCCTCTGTCTTATTGTGCTTCATTACCCCTTCCCAGGATGTGACAGTGGTAGGGATTACTCTCCCCTGAAGAAGGGGAATGCTTGGGGTGCGGCTGTCAGAGTTGTCCTCTGCCACTCTTCTTCACATCCAGCTGGGATGTCTCCCAAGGAGGGGCAGAGCACCGTGAAGGGAAGTGGGGTGACAGTTGCCCGCACTGTGTGATTGTCATCCTGGGAGAGATCCCGGCCTCTGGCCTGCCCGCTGAGGCTGGGAGCCCCAGGCATCTGCTGTTTTGATTCCACAGGGCTATAGGTGCTACCATAGCACCCTGCTGCCTTCTCCCCTTCCCTCTGCTCCTGCAGTCTACTGACTCCTCTCTTGTTTTCTCTTCCCTTCTTCCCGGTCCGCCGGAGCAGCAGCGTCCAGTGAAGCAGTCTCTCAGCAAGTCTCTGTGCCGAGAGTCCCACTGGAAATGCCTGCTGCTGTCCCTCCTCATGTACGGCTGCATGGGAGCCATGACATGGTGCCATGTCACCAAGGTGACCCGGCTGACCTTTGACAGCGCATACAAAGGCAAGTCCATGATGTACCACGACAGCCCCTGTTCCAACGGCTACGTCTACATCCCCTTGGCTTTCCTGGTGATGCTCTACGTGGTGTACCTGGTGGAGTGCTGGCACTGCTACACCCGCAACGAGCTGCAATACAAAGTAGACGTGGAGAGTGTGCACGAGCGTGTGCAGCGGATGCAGCAGGCGACTCCCTGCATCTGGTGGAAGGCCATCAGCTACCACTACGTCCGCAGGACCCGGCAGGTTACCCGCTACCGCAACGGGGATGCCTACACCACCACCCAAGTGTATCATGAGCGGGTCAACACCCACGTGGCAGAGGCTGAATTTGATTATTCCAATTGTGGAGTTAAGGATATCTCCAAGGACCTCATTGACCTGGAGAGCTACCCCGCCACACGGCTCCGCTTCACCAAGTGTTTCAGCTTTGCCAATGTGGAGTCAGAGAACTCCTATCTGACCCAGCGGGCCCGCTTCTTCACAGAGAATGAGGGCCTAGATGACTACATGGAGGCCAGGGAGGGGATGCACCTCAAAAATGTGGACTTCAAGGAATACATGGTGGCCTTTTCCGACCCAGACAACCTGCCTTGGTATGTATCTCACTATGTCTTCTGGGTGGCAGCTCTGCTGACCCTGTCCTGGCCCCTGAGGGTGCTAAATGAGTACCGCACCTCCTATGTCCATTACCACGTGGAGAAACTCTTTGGGTTCGACTACGTGGCAGTGACACCGGCCGAGGAGCGCACCTTCTGCCGGAGGATGCCCCGCGTCAACACAGTGGACAGCACCGAGCTGGAGTGGCACATACGATCCAACCAGCAGCTGGTGCCCAGCTATTCGGAAGCGGTCCTGATGGACTTGGTGGGGCTCTCCGGCTGCACCAGCTACTCTGCTTGCCGGTACGGGGGCTACCGGCAGAACTGCGAGCGATGCCACAGGACTATAAGCAGCTCCTCCATCTTCTCCCGCAGTGCTCTGAGCATCTGCAATGGCAGTCCCAGGATTCCCTTCAGCAGCAGCCGCTTTTCTCTGGGCCGCCTGTATGGCTCACGACGCAGCTGCCTCTGGCAGAGCCGGAGTGGGAGCCTGAATGAGCAGAGCTGCCCCACTGAGCAGACACGCCTCTCCAGCCAGGTGACTGTGGAGGAGGAAGACCCCCCTCCTTACCAGGATGCCCTCTACTTCCCCGTTCTCATCGTACACCGCAACGAAGGCTGCCTGAACCACGACCACCGTCACCTCCATCGCAACGGGTCCTGTGTGGAGACCTCACTGTGAAAGCAGAGGGCGGTGAGATCTCATTGTCCATTGCCTGGCCCAAGCCAGCACAGGATTTGGGGAGAGGAGCACAGGGGGGACAGCCTAAGAGGACATCAGGATGGAGTGGACATGGCATCTCGCTCCATCAGCCAGTGAAAGCTCCCCACAGTGTGGCTCTGACCTCCCAGAGGGGTGGGTGCTGATGCTCCCCTGACGTGGCACAGAACTCTAGACCAACCACCACATGCAAAAAAAAAATAAATAATTCAACCAAACCAACCCCAAAACCGTAATTCATGGCATCAAGATCCAAAGGGGAGAATAAAAAGATAGGCCTGATGCAGGGAGGGGGTGGTTTTTGTCTCCCAGCCCTGGCTCCAGGCTGGCTCATGCTCCGAGGAACCAGCAGCCATCAGAAAGCGCCTTGCTGCACCTCTGCCCACCCTGCTTCTCATGCTGGAGCAAGACCCCTTGCAGTGTGGAGGGGAATGGGCCCCTTGGGAGCAGGGTGTAACTGCCTGTAACGGAAGGTCTGGGGCATCCAGGCACATGGATGGAGCAGCAGGTTAAAGCAAAGGCTGAAAGCCATGAATCCAGCTCTTCCCCTTCCCCCCAACTGTTCCCCACCCTCCCCATTTTTTTTTTTTAGACCACGCTCCGACTGTTACCCTGTTCTCACTGCTGGGAATGGCATCACCTCCAGAGGATCCCAGGCTCCTCAGGAAGGTTCGGCATATCAGCTCTGAGTCAGCATCCCTTAGGTAAAGGGTTTTCTGTTTGGGCACGCAGCACCAGGGAAGGGATGAATGTGCAAACCCAGATGGAGCAGAAATCTGCAGCGCTGCCGATGTGTTTGCTGGAGGAGGGCTCAGCTGGAAACAGAAAACGGTAGGCCCCTGGTGAGCTGAGGAAGGGGAACAGGATGGCACTGGGACAGGCATCATGGTATCAGGTGGCAGGTCAAGTAGCTGGGGACCCTTCCTGGCTTTGAATTGAGTCCTAATTGGTTCAGACAAGCATCAAGGAAGGCTCTGGTAGGTTCAGCTGCAGTTCACCTATTGATAATGGAGCAGCAGGTTGGTGCATCTCTGCATGAGTGAATTTTGCATGAGATCTAGCTGGGCTCTGGCTGTGGACTCTGAGCTGCAGGATCTTGACAGCCTGGTTTTGGGAGAGAGCTCTGAGGGGCTAGGAGGGAGAAATGCAAAAGCATGCAGGAGCATTGAGAACCTGGGCTGCGGAAATGAGGAGCAAAAGGATTCCCCTTCTGTGGGACCCCACTATGGGTGCAGGACCCATGCAGGAGCCATCTTCCATGAGGGATGCTTTCCAGAACAGAGGCGAGAGATGTGTTAGAGGGGAACCTGCTTAAAACCGAGCAGTTTGCACTACAGAGGTTTTTGCAGGGAGGTGTCAGGCTGTGAGAAGTAAGGTGACTTCTGCATAGCCCATTAGCCCCTGGGTTCTTCTGCCTTGCCCTTGTCAGTGCAGGTTGCTCTGAGCTTTGTGCTGCCCCTTCTATCCTGTTGGAAGGGATCTTGGTGACGTTGGGCAAGGAGCCTTCATGTCACTGAAGCTTCATCAGTGGCTGCAGCATGCAGACACCCAGCTTTTCCTCTGAAAAGCTATCTCCTTTTCAGTCAGCTCTTTGGGGGAGTGAATGCCAAATCAGCCAGCGATTTCTCCAAACAGCACTGCTTTTCAGCCTCACCACACTTCCCTCATCAGCTGGGGCAAACAGCTAAAAACAGCAGGTCTTGGGTGACAAGGGTAAGTCCTTTAGCACCTGGGCATTTGAGCTTGATGTCTGCCTCCACATCCATCGCAGAAAGGCGAAATGTAACAGCAAACAGTGAGGCATTGTATTTAGTCTAGCCTGTCTTCCTCCTGCCAGCTATTAATGAGGGCTCTGTTTCTCTCATCACGCTGCTCTATTTGCCTCCCAGGTCTTGAGGAGGCTGCAAATGCACCCATGCACCACATCAGTCCTCTTGAAAATCATCTCTTGCTGGCAAGCCTGGAGCGGTCAGCGCCTGCGGGTGTTGTAGGGCTCTGCTTGTCTTTTCCCCCAGATCAGTCTGTTCTGCTCTTTGTGCCCTGCGTATCCTGGTCAGTGTCTCTTGCCCTTCAAGTCAGCTTGTCCTCCTTGATCCCAAGTGCTAGACTCCAGACAGGAGTTTGGAGAACAGCGGTTTGAACAGAAAGTCCCTTAAAATCTCACTCTGTTATGATTCTGTCTTGTCATCTGCGCTTTCTTGCCCTAGACTTAGATGTTGGCTAAAAGAGGGTCCCTAGGAGGCCAGAGAAGCATAAGATCTCTGGTATGGGCACATCCCTCTCTGCGTTTTGTTCTCATCATTTTTGGCACAGTTTCAGACCGGGTGAAAGCAACCCTGGGATTTCCTTGCTCAATAATGACATTTGGCTTGCTGTGCATTTGTGCTTCTCTCTCCAAGGGCTTAATGTAAGCCAAGGCCAGTGTTGAGTGTCCACGTGACTCTGGGGAGATAATGATGTGTTCTTGTGTGTCCCAGTGAATCAAGACAGTGGAGCTGCAACGGGTCATTAGTGAGGAATGTGGTCACCTTGTCCTTGCTGACATATTCTCTTTGAAATCTCCTACACATTGCTTAAATTAGGCTGTGATGGCTCCTCTTTCTATCTCCAGCATCCAAGGTGCCTTGGACAGATGGATTTATCTAAGATTTGGCAGGCCTTTTAGCTCCCTGGGGCAAAGACAGTCTTCAGAATAGGGACAGATTAGCAGGGTCTCTGGGATCCCCATCCTTTAGCACCTGCAGCAGAATTGCAGGCACCGTGTGCTTGGCTCTTTCTGGGGCTTTCCATGAGAATGCCTCACCTTGTTCCTCTGCCCCATTTTCTCCTGTGAAATCTTATTCTGGAGGTGGTCTGTCCAGGTGAACACATGGATCTTCAAGGCATGGCTGCTGCTCTGACCAGCAGGATCCATAGTCTTCCTGTTACTGAACACCTTCCCCATTGTACCTGGTGCCAGGTCCCAGACATAGTCCCAGTGCCACTGTCTGTGGCTGTCCCAGACCCTCAGTACCCTGAGAAGTGAGACCCCTCTAGCTGGTGCTTCCTGCTGGACGCCAGGATTTCTTGGAGATCCCCTTCCTCATATTCTTGGCCCTGCTACCCCACTACTCCTGGTGGAACTGCCCCCCTGGTCCAACTACTCCATTCTTGCAAGGGTGGAGATATTTGTGCCCTGCCTCAGGCTCAGGAAAGGGGGATGACACACGTGGACATGGTAAGGGAGCAGGACTGGGCAGGAGGAACAGGAGCTGCCTGCTGGCTTGGCAGAGAGAAGCTTGGTAGAGCTGAAGAGGACAGACTGAAACTGGGGTTCTTCCTGGCATGTCTAGCTAGGCAGGGAAGCTCAGAGCAGAAAACTGGGCTCTCCCTTCCCTCTCCTGGCATTGGACACCACCAGCAAAGTTTGTGTATAAGTTTCCTCCTGAGTGTTGGTGAGGAGCCCTGGGCAAAAGCAATTCTTATGACACAGGTTACTAGCACAGATACCCAGAGATGGTCTGTCCCTGCTCTGGCAGCACAGCCTCTCCATAGTGGAGTCATCCTATCTCCCCGGCACACAGACACCCACCTACCACAGCTCTGGGCTGAGCAGCAGTCAGGCATCTGCTCCTCCTGCAGATTTGTGTCTGCTCTCTGCCATGTCTGTGTTGGTGATGACGATTCCTTTGGCAGCTCATTCGATGGCCCAGTCTGCTCCTCTCGTGATAGCCTTCTCCCTTATATCTAACCTGAATTCTCCCTGCTGTATCTTAATCCCATTACTTCTCCTTCATTGACTGGTGAGTCTAATTGGCTCTGCTCCTTTTCCCCATGGCCTTCCCGACACAAGCAGGCGTTATCTGGTCTCTATAGCCTTCCCTTCACCAATCCTAGGGTCTTGATCTCACTTGCCAAACCCTGGTTTGAGTGGTGGTGCAGAAGTTTTCCCTGTGTAGTGAGTATGTCACTCCTGCTCTGAGCTCAACCTGGGCAAGAGGAGAGGGCCAAAGGTGCAAGCAATGCCTTGGTCTGTCAGGGAGGCTGTGTCCTCACTTCCAGAGCAGATCTCTTCAAAGTGAGTGGAGTACACAGAGCTGTTGGCCCCTTACGCAAGGAAAGCCGGATAGTGCACATCAGCCTCTGGGAGGGTGAAAGCTGTGTGCTTGTCAGTATGATGGGGGCAATAACTAAAGGATCTCCACAGTCAGATGGCTTAGGTTTTCTTCATACGTCGTTCACCCATTGCAGCATTCCATGGGCTGAGAGTCAGGCTCAGCATTGCACTTATCAGCAAGCTTTCCTCACATACTAGAAGGAGTGAGACAGTAATGCTACCAGCTCCTCTTCCTGGCCCTTCATGGTGCTAATGCATCCCAGAAGAGGGCTAGTCCTTACTGCTGCAAAGCTGGACAATAAGTTTGGGCTATTTGATGTTTGCTGTTGCTGTCAGTATACTTGTCAGATACTTAAGAAGCTCTGAATTAGCTGATCTTCCAGACACATGACCACTCATTTATCTATCTTTCAGCACACTGGAAGCTTTCCAGATAGCACCTGGCACTTTGCTTGTGCAGAACTGGTCGGCAACACCAGCCAGCCTGGTGGTACTTCTTGAGCCCACTGCATGTCATGTCTCACTCTACACCAAGGAAGGAGGTTTCAGAGAGGGCTGTCAGAGTGAGCAGCTCTAGGGGCATTTGTTAGGATGGGGAGAGGGAATCTCAGCTTATGGCGAAGCCCAGGCCTTCCAGAATCACACACCAGGCAAATGTGCAGTATTAGGGCTGGGGAAGTTGCTATACATCCCCTTCCCTTTCTCCTCCCCATAAAATGCACATTACAGATCCAGCCAGTCTCTGCCCTCTTTGTTGTCTTTTCACTCAAAAGGCTGGAGAGATGTTTAATAACTGATGGATGCCTGTGGGGAAAGGACTGCAGGAAAAGGTTTATTAAGTGGAAGTTGGAGAGAGTTAGGTAGCATCTGATGTCAGTGGAACAGTGCCTGCTGATTAGTTAGTGGGACAAATAACACCTTTTAAGCTCTTCTTCCAGCCTTTCCAACCACAGTTTCAGTACAGCTGTCTAATATCACCAGGATGCTGCCTTACATGAGCAGAGTACAACCTTGCTGCAATGTGCTCCTACTCTGCCGCTGTAGCTGTAGGGTCTGAGTCTGAAATACTATACCACCACCAAGATGTTGTGTTACCAAAGAGCTGTAAGTCTCAATTGGGATATGTGCTTCTGATCATGTTTTATTCATGTTCATATTAGAATAAGGTCTGTGTGAATATGATCTGTATCCAGGTGATCTCAGAAATGAGACATGGTTTAAGTGTAGCTCTGTTTGGTGCTGCTGCCTCCAATGATGCACTTGGGCCTAGAGTCTCCACCGAGCCAGGTATGCATGGGGGCCAAAGGCTGGTTCATAGGACCTGGGAGCCCAGTGAGGAATTGGGGCTGAGCCCACCTAGGGCTGTTTCCCCTGTGGGCATTCTGGAAAAAGTGGAAATGAGCATAGTCACCTTTCAGGTAGAAATTAATGGGCTATGCTCATTCCTAGTGTAATTTTATTGAAGCCAGTGGTACTGTACTAATGTGAGCTTGGCTTAGCAACTCCTCAGAGGGGGTCTGTCTTTGAGTCCAGACAAATTGATCTGTCACAGTGTTGCTTTGATGTATAGAATTTGTGTTGGGACTTGACCAACATAAATGAATGTTGAATATCTACTGTTTCTGCAAACAGTGGGTTGAATTGTTTTGCTCTGCTGCCTCCATCACAGCTGCTCCACCAAGGGGAACGTTATGCCCATGGATGTGATCTGTCAACTCTCTCAAAAGCAAGCTAACAAGCAAACTGACCTCCACAGCACTGGGAGAGGAGCCTTCTCCCACAGGACCATAGCCTTTCCGCACCTGAGGGAAAAGAGGTCCCAAGGACAGAACTGAACTGGCAAGACCCATGGCCTCGTGGCCTGCCCCTCCTCCTTCCCTCCTTACCTCATATGTCTGTCTTGGGGGAGGGATGGTTTCCCTGTGGAGTTCAGCAAGCTCCTCTTCCTCATACACAGGCTCATACACAGGCTCTACTCACAGGTATATCATCCACCTATGCAACTCTTCCAGAAGCTGCCAAGTTTTCAGGAACTCGTTACAATGTGCAGCATGGCCATCCGGCACTGAGAATAAGCACAGTGGCTGCTGGAAAGCTAAGTGGGTTTTATTCCTCCCCCCATTCCCAAGGAAGACTGTTTTTGTTGGGCCATTTTGTTCGTTCTGTTTTTGTAAACTTCATTTGGGGGAAATGAAGCTTGTGAGAAATTGGTACCCATCATGAACCCTCCCCAGTCTTTTGAACTTCGTGAATGGATGGATCACCTACTGTGATTATAATTTAACGGATTTTGTAGAACAAAATAACTTCACACACAGACACATGAGGTTCTTTCACTCTCCATCAGCACAAGCTGCTTCTGCGATCTTAGCTACTCACATTAGTGGAAGAAAAAACCTAGCTAGAATGTGGTGAGATGACGTAGTGCTTTGTATCAGTCCCACGGTCCCAATGTCCATTAGCAGCACTGTCAGCTGCTGTGCCATGAATTCGGACTTTGGATGGCAGCCCATGAACCAGTCAGGGTAAAAGTTTGGAAAAACACAAGCCTGAGTCTAGCGCATCTCCAGAAGCAGATGCAGTGGGAGGAGCAGCTGAAAGCAGGCATCACCTCTGGCTCGGCTGTGCCAGGAGCTGGTGGGCTCTGTGCTGCACCTGTCCCCCAGGAAGAGCCTGCCCCCAGAGGCCAAGCAGAGGGGAATGAGGTAGTGACATGTCTGATGGAGCAAAATGCACAGCACAGCTCAGCCAATGGGAAACAGCAGTGACAACTAGACCCCAAAATAACAGGATTTCACTTTGGAAATGCCAACATCTTTTTCGAACTGAAATGAGACTAGGAGGCCTTAACAGTTGAGAGAAGTGTTTCATGTTGCTGTTCCTTGCTTAAAAAGAAATAATTTTTGGTGATGAAGTAGGTTTAAACTCTCCACTCGTTCCAGCCCTTGTTGTGTTGGTGGAGATGAAATGCTTAAGGCAGATTGGGATGGTGGCCCTGTGGCTTTGCAGTGGGGTAGGCTGGAACAGAGGCTGGAGTTTAAAGTCTTCCTCTGAGGTGTGACCTGGCCATCTACCTACACATGCACGCATGGTAGGGTGGGCTTCTGCATGCTTGTGTGCACAGCTGGGACCCGTGGCCCTGCAGAGGGTTGGTGTGTTTGTGGCTCTGGGCTGGTGACACCCATCTGCCTTTGTGGCAAGGGCTTTTCAGGGTGACAGAGCATTGCTTGTTCCTTGTGAGAGGAAACTCCTGACCTGGTTTCTGTGAGAAGATGGTGTGAAGTGTCACATTTGCTGCAGTGAGTGCCAAGGAGCAGGGATAAAAGCATGGAGCAAGCTGTGTTTAAGAACAAGCTAATCCATTGCTGGCTGCCTGAAACAGGAGAGATGCTGGATCTGCTCCTTGGACAATGCTTTCTGTCTCTTCCCACCCTCCCCAAACCTGATGGGAAAACTGTCATTCCTATGAGGTAGACAAAGGACCGCTCTCCCCTGAACTCCTCTGAGGCTGTGTGTTCACATCTTTTGGATCCTGTCCCTGCTGGGTGTTGGGGGCCAGCCATGAAATGCCAGCAGACACATGATGACCACAGGTGTGCTTGTGGGCAGAACTCACAATACCCTGCTGGTGCACAGCATTCCAACAGTGCTCCCTGCCCTGGCATGCCTCCTCCTTGCTTGGTGGAGAGCAACCGCGCATGTCCTGGCATCACCTTGTGCTTTTCCAGAGAATTTCACAGCACTTGTCTGAGCCTCGGTAATCAGGGTAAGTTCAACAGACCAAAGTTAGAAAACAGAAGGCCTTGACATTTTGGTGGTCCTGGTCCCCAAATCTTTGGTGCTGTCCCTGGGGAGGAGGGGCAGGTCGGCTGTTGTGGCAGTGTGGGGGCAGGGGACAGCATCGTAGTGAAAGCAGCGTGTCTGCTGGAGTCTCCAAACGTGTGCTCTGTGCTTCTCTGCTGGGGCTGAGAGCAGCTTTGCTGTGGGCTGCACAAGGTGCACTGATGGAGGGCAGAACAGCATGTGGATGCTCAGCAAGATGTGGAGAGGAGGGTTGGTAGGAGAACAGCTGTAAAAAGGTTTGCATGTGCGGTGGTTTTTATAGGAGACGGAAGACAGGGCAGGAGGCTGTGGTGCTGGAGCAGCGGTGCTGCAAGGCGGAGGGGGGAACAGAGGGAGCAGGGCGTTTGATGGAGAAGCTTGGGAACAGAGTGGGCTTTCAAAGCAGTCTGTGCATGCTCTGGCTGAGAAGACAGGCGGGAGGTATTCCCAAGCTGAAGTGCCCAGGCCATGTCTCGCTGCACTGCTGGAACGGTGGTGTTGCCTCTAAGCCCAGCACTGACAGCTTGAGCACGTGTCACCAACCGTGATGGCTAATGCAGCCACAAGGTGTAAATGTCACTAATGAATAAATTGCCCTGTGCCTTGGAGAGGCTAATCCATCACGGCCAGAGACAGGGATCTGACAGGCTTGGCTATTTCAGGCATACCCTGTAGGGAGGAGGAATGCTTCTTTTCTGAGCCATCCCCTCCACCTAGGGAAACCAGTGCAGGGTTTGGCTCTGTGCCACCCCTCAGCTTCCCAGTCGCATGAGCTCAGGCTTCATCCCTTTTCACTCCAACTGAAGGAAGAAGCAGGAAAGGATCTAGGTTAGCCAAAAGGGGCTAGCTGGTAAAGGAGTTTGGAGGGAGACTGCTGCACAGAGGACAGGGGTGACGTAGGGGCTGGTGGCATAAATTGGTGGGTCCCCAGCAATCAGGAGAGCTTGTGTGAGTTGTCTGGGTTGTAGAGCTGCATGGGCTGGACTGTGCATTTCAAGCCAGTAGTGGTTGGTGCCATGTTTTACAAGCATGCTGTTTCCTCCCCAGTTCAGTTTTGTAGTTTGCCCCTATAAGAGGCAACCCGGAAATTCTCTGAGCCTGCGCCAGCCCAAGTTCTCCCCCCCGTCCAGAGATGGCTTCACTGTGCTGTCCCAGAGGCAATGCACAGGACACCCATTTCCCCCCCTGCTGTTGAACCCCAGCCACCAGCACTTCATCTTACTGTGCAGAGGGCCAGCAGGTACCCAGCAGGCAGGGACAGAAGCTCAGTGTGGACAAATCCAGCTCCATGGGACCAAAGGGAGGCTGAACAGCAGCCATTTCAATGCACAGCCTCTGCCCATCGCTGTGGCAGTCTGCTTCTCCTCCCCCAGTCGGTGCTCAAAATCAGCCTGCCATCCTGTTTGCGACATATGCCAGTGTGACACCTTGCAAATCAATGCCTGGGTCGCTGTGAGCAAAAGCTGCCAGGCTTGGGAAGCTGGCCACCGTCTCCTGCTACCGCGTGCACTCTGCTCAGAGCAGCAGAAGCCGGGCTCACCATCTGCTCCATGAGGGAGCAAGCTGGGCACCCCTGCTCCGGCCTGATGGGACACCCACTGGCATAGCTCAAGTGCAAGCCCTTGTGTCATTCCCCCTCTTTTACTTTCTGACTACCCTCATCTCTCCCTATCTCTCTGGCACAGATCTATGGGCAGGGGGATGTTCCCCGCTTGGCTGGGGTTCCTCTGCTGCTGAGTGCCACTCATGCAGCATTGGTGGGTGGTGGCGGTGCTGGAGGTCATTCCCTCCTCCAGACAGAGGCCCACAGATGACCCCCCTCCTCAAAGCCTGACAGTACTCCTTGGGGATAGATCTCAAAGGAGATCTAAAGGGTCTGTCCTGGCCCTGCGCTGGCACATTCCTTTCCCAGCACAGAGTGACCAGCTAGTTACCGCTCTGGAAGGCAGTCCCACCATACTGTAACTGGACCTGGAGCTGACAAGTGACCCACCTACAGTGGAAATGTTTACATTCATACAATCTGCTGTTGCTGGCAGACCTTTAATTTTTAGCCAACATGTGTGGCGTTTGACATGGTTTCAGCCCTTGCAGACTGGCAGCTGATTGTTAGTCTTGGGTGTGGGCAAGTGGTGCAGGCAGCTTGGTGTGGACTTTGCTCTTTGGCCAAGAGATTGATGGGAGGGAGGGCAAAGGGTTCTCCAGGCAACAGCTAACTGTCCAGGCATTCCTGCCTGTGGCAGCCCAGGAGTGGGTTTGGGGGGTACTTAGGTGATGTCAACAGTGTCAGGACTGTTTGCAGGAAAAGGAGCAGTGAATATCCCAGAAACCAAGTCAGCAGTTTTTCTGGTGATGACATGTTTTCCCAAGCCTTTTCTTTCCTTCCTTTGTCCTCACTGGCTCTGGCAGTCAATTCCTCCTCGTGTGTCTGCTAGCATGTCTGCAGGATCTCATCGCTGCCCTCCCAGCATGAGCTTTCATTGCACAACTGGCTGACCAGCTGCAGCCCTGTCCTTGGAGCTACAGGCAAGCTTGCCCAGGTCCAGGCCACTCCCATTAAGCCAACACCCTCGCTGCTGGAGCTGTTGCTTCATCAGCCTGATGCTGATCTGGGTCTTTTCTGCTGTTTCTGAACATGAGTTCTCATCTCATTGAGGTTTGGTCATCCAGTGGAAATATTTTGTAAATGCAAATAAAAATAAATAAGTATATTCAATACCTCGGTCTCGAGGATGGGAAACAAGTAGAGGGAGATGCCCAGATAGGGAGGTTTCACAGCTGCTGGTTCTGGTTAGGAATTCTTGTGGATGTAGCCCCTGAAGCTTCCATAAATAGTTGGGAAGGGAGCTACGCAAACTTGTGAGGGCTTGGGGCTGAGCCTTGTCAACGCCCCTTGTGTGGCCAGTGCCACCAGGGACAGCCTCACACTCCATCCTTCTGATCTGTACGGGTGTGACATGGTGCAGGTAGAGGTCCCGTCGGCCGGGGGCTGGTGGCACCACAGGTGTCTATATCCATCAGGCAGGGCAAGGCAGAAGCGGGTATGTAGTGGATAAATTCCTTTGTGAACACTGGGAAACAGTTTTTACTTTTCAACTCTGTCAATATGATCTAGCTCTGTCTGTCTCTCTATATATGTACAAACAGTATATCACAATGTTGCCTTTTTTGTTGGAAATATCAAAGTACAAAGATTGTAAACCAAATCGGTGTAATAAAAGTTTCAGATGATTCACTGAGGTGGTTGCCAGCAGTGAGTCTGTGAGTACTGGTGCTGGGCAGGTTTGGAGGCATGTGAAGCCCCTATACCATTGCTCAGAGGGCAGGAGGGAATGGAAGTCAGCCCACTTGCTGAATTCCCTGATGACATCTCCTGAGCAGGGTGGTCAAAGGACCGAGGCAGTCAAGTATGTGCCTTGTCCTTTCCTCAGGTGGCCACAGCCTCTTGAGCAAAAGGAAGCTGCTCCATTTTGCTCCAACCCCAAAGAAACTCCTCCATTTTCAACATTGTGGACTGTGTGGGCTAGCAGTCCTGTAGGGACCCCTCTAGCTTGAAGTTTTGCAAAACACAGAATTTTTTTGGTACAGGTTTGCACAGAAGATCACTACTAGGCAAGGTAAGCATTTGGTTATAAAGAATTAACCTGTTTGCAAAGCAGGCTAGCACTGATCAAAACATAGCAACCCAAAGCAGGAAACCACAGTGGCGAGACCTATAATTTATTGAATTTATTTCTTAGTGCTTTTCACCATCCATATCAGACTCCAGACAGATTTTGCTATAAATACAAATAAATTCTTGAGCAGAGCAGTATCCAGAAAAAGCTGCCAAGGAATTAGAAACAACATTCCCTCAATCCCCTATGCATCTCACATCCTCCTCAGCAAAATGCTTAAAAAAGCTGCCTGCCCTGAAAGTTAGCTCTGGACTAAACTATTTAGGTGGCAGAGGCTTCACCTTAGCTGCTTTACAGGTGGAACAGTTACTTGAACTAAGCTTACTGCTGGGGCATGTTAGAAGCACCACAGGAGGTGGAATATAGTCTGGTATGCAATGAGAGAGGGGGGTCA